TTAAAAAAAAAACATAAAAACATAGATAAAGCGAAATATCAGTTGTTTTTGCGTAGTAGCTTGAACCTGTGCAAGTTTCAGCTCAATTGTTGAAACCTCTCTTCCAAAACTGTGTGAATCTTTATTATTTAAGGCAACCCTTTAACCTATCAATTATCTCATTGGAATAAATATTACCACTTCTTTCTACTACCACATTTATAACTTATCACCTGCATTGATCAATAAATGTCAGTGTTTTTCTCTGGTATTTTTGAAGTAAGCACGAATGGTCTCCATAATATAAAGTGTTTACAGTTCGGGGCCTGTTAAAATGTAGTTTGTTTATTTCCTCTGGTTTGTTTTGACAGGTTATCTCTGTAGAGAACGAGAATGTTTTTGACTTCGAGGTAAGAGTGCACGCAAACTACCAAATGAATACGAATTAATTGAAAAGTGATCTTCGAGATTTTACACTGTTCTAATATCCGTTTCGATTAGTCTACACGATTTGCAAGTAAAGTTCTACGCCCATCTCAGTGCACTGCTTCCTTATTTACAGGCCTTCTCGATGTTGTCAACATTCTGCGACCTATGGAAAATGAAATTTTTTCTTAGTTAGGGAATTCCAATGTGAAATAACTAAAACTTCACAGTCTTTTTTCTTGGTAATCTTCAATGCATTGGTATTGATTCAAAACTGCTCCATTCGAGTCTAGGTATAGGCCTTAGATGAGTTGCTAAACTTGATGATAAGAAAATTAAGACTCTAGTGATATTCTAATTGTAAATTTCGTAGTTCGCATTGTAAAATTTGACTTACGGTATCTTCATTTCAAAAATGTTATCTTTTCAGTTTAAATACTTCAACGATACAAACAAACCAACGATGGATGAGCCAAACACTGCTGATCTCACAAAGCCAGATGGAAACCTTGAGCTCAACATTGGCAAGATAAACATTGTCTTTCTGTATCGATTCATCTCTGAACTGTTGGTGAGTGTTTCTTAGTTTGAAGAACATGTTTCTGTCATTGAGATTTTAATTCTCTCTTTCTTAAACAGCGATCGTGAACTTTTACGAGCACTAAAGAGGTAAACCTCTCTCTTAAAATGTTTTACATGTCTTTTTATATATATATATTAACCCATGTATTGTTGACTTTCTCTCTTTCATAAGCAATTTGTTGAACCTTTGACAAGTCCTCAATCAACCGAGTATGTAAAAGCAACTGCACAAAGAGCAGCCACCGAACAAGTAAATGCGTTATAAAAATCTGTGTTATTGCAATCCTGACATCCTCATCATCGTTTTCTTTGTCATCCTCGTCATCGCTTTCCTTCTCTTCCTCGTCCACTTCCTCGCCCTGAATCCTTATCCTTACATTCGTTTTAAAGGCCCATTAACCGATCTTTTCGAGCCGTTGCTAAGGAAAATTTAGTCTCATCTAACCTCCTCATTTTTAATTAGTTCAGAGTTATTTGATGTGTTTCAACTTTTTCAAGATCAGTAACACTAGTGATGACGTCATCAGGCCACGCCCATGGTCATGTGACTAATACAGAAAAAATGCAAAGGCTCCCAGGCAAATTACTTTCTCGGGATTTTTTCCATTGATTTAGTATTTTAATTTAAATCCTCATTACGCTATGCATCGAGTTTGTTTCATTTCTAAAAGGTCAGATTTTGAGAGCATTTCAAAATATTGAAAAATTCGTAATTTTCTGAAAAAAGCACGATTTCGAAAAAGGAATGCAT